GAGCTCAGGCAGTTCACCCACCTTGGCCTCCCAGAGTGCTGGGATTATAGGCGTAAGCCACACCCAGCCTAGGAAAGCACTTTAGGACTTACTCATATATTAGATAATAGTGCTAACAAGTTTTATATGGTTTCTTGGCCTATAACAATTACAGGGAAGAAGGCAACCAAGTAGCAAGAAAAATCAGCTTACAAAATTAGGAAACTCTTAAAATCCATAAAATCTCAGAAACTATTTACCATCTTGGAGCATTTACTGTATGAACAGTCATCACCGGTTCATACCACAGGGACAAATAGTCATCAGTTGTTATTTCTGTTTCCCTATTATACTTTGATTGTTTCCTCTGGATTTCATGTTTAATTACTAGCATTCTGATATTAAGACTGTGTTTGTCTTTAAAGTTGTATCTACAATTTTTGTTTGTGATTAATCTGTTTAAGAACTATAAAGTGCACATTTTTTAAGGTTTTGATGAAAGCTTGAATGATAAGTAGCTGGTCCTATTTGGTTCACAGCTGTGGAGCATTTCTGTATTTTTTTCCTGATATATTTGTTCAGATACGTGGACTTTGAGTAGTAGTATCTCAGATAGAGGCCATTAAAAAGGCACAAACCTTTATTTATCAAGCAGCTGTTGTCATGTAGTTAGAGCAAGCTTAATAAAGAAAAGCTTATGTGGAGAATATCTTAAGACTGCCTTTCACACATGAGAGGAAATTGTGTGGTAACAGGATGAAGCTAATTTAGGCCTTCCTTTAAATGCCCTGAGGAAAATGACTGCCTTTATTAGCCAAGAAACAAAGAAGTAATTATTTTATATGTTTACACAAAGTAGTAAGCATTTTAACTGGTGATGGTTAAAGAATTGGAAAGTAGCATCATTAAAATATTATTTAATTTGCTATTAACTTTTAAAAACATAGGATTTCCTAAACACCCTATGGGTAGGCATGATTCTTCAGAAGATGTGGTAATTACTGCCCTGATCTTTCTCTACATAAGCATAGATACTCTCTTTTCAAAGTTTATCTCTTTCTTTCAAACTAGATTATATTTGTAAGAAAAGCATTAGGGATTTCTGGATTTTTTGAAAAATCACTTTTAGTACTAACTTTTATATTGCATTTATTGCCTGTACCCTTCTGGGCTGGATCTCTCATGTGTTTCTCTATTCAATAACTCTGGAACTGTGGTTATATTTTTTCTCACAAGGAAAGCAAAATGTTTTTAAAGATTTGTGTTTTGAATGTCTGTGAAGTATCAAACATATGCTTGTGCTTTGGGGGTTCCACAGTGTGTGGGTTTATGACTATTGATGTTTATTTTTATTAGGAGTTAAATTCTGCCTACCTCATGTTACATTCCTTAATATTTTTTAAAAAGTCAGTGTGGCTTTCCAGTTGTGTCTTTAAAGGAAAGGAATTTTGATGGTTTAAATATGAGAAAAATTCTTTGCATTTTTGAAATAGGATAAAATCAGGGTTTTTATTTTAAAATATCGGTATTATACTAAAAGTTTATAATTGACTGATGTCTTTAGTACTGTAATATAGAGTTAAGCATTCTGTTTGTTTTAGGTAGAAAAGTGGACTAAAACATTTTCTATAGTTTCAGTGAGTTTTAAGAAAAAGATTTTTTAACTAGACTATTCAGTTGATTTGAATATTTATGTAAAGTACTCTGGGTTTGTTACAGATTTTTCTGAGGTTGCCTATTGTGGGTAGGTTTATATTTATATTAACTTTTTTCTGTGTCACTGTGAGAACAGCTTGTTTTCTGTAACAAGTTAACATTCACTTGGAATGAGCTACTATTAATTTAAACATTTAAGAGGAGTATGGCGGCTATCCCTGGTAAACTGGAAAAACTTGAGGACTTGAGGATTATTCTCCTTTAAATATCTGAATGTAGGGCTCGGTGCCTATGGCTCAAG